TTTCTTTAAGATTATGACAAAATTGCTTCAGCAATTGTACTGCGAAAAAAAAGCAAGTTTTAGCTAGCTAATCAACAAAAAATCAACTACCATTGGTGAGCGAGTTCGTGCGTGATTATTTTCTGGATGTCATACTGCTGAGCGAGTAAATCCACTGACATATTTGCATTGTCTAAAAATTTCAGTGGTGATTCTAAAGCAGTTTTAAGCAGTGTAATTTTATATCCTATCTTTTTTGTAGTGTAAAATAATCGCAGGATTACTTTCAAGCAATGAATCGAGGAGCAGCACTTCGTTCTTGAATACGACAAGCCCCCAATTCTCCATGCCACCGACCGGAAACGAGCGAGTAGCAACAAAATCGATCTTCGAAAGTGGATAAGGCATCTGAATCAGGAACAGTCTCATACAGCTCCTGCGTTTAGAACAGTGGTAAAAATCTGTGGATTATCAGATTGGTATTTAGATTTCTAGGAGCTGACTTTTGTGAAACATCTGAAGGTAACAGCTAAAGTGAGCGTGAGATATCTTATACTACCCACAGAACAGGTGCGCTAGAACGATCTGTTTGCAGCTGCAATCTCTGCAATGGATATATCAAAGCCAAAAGTCAAAAACACTCTCCATATTTCGCTCTTAGTGGGAGGCGAAGGCACTCGGGAATTAGCCTGAATGTTAACAAATGCCAAAAGTAACCAGTCGCTGGCAAGTTTGTCGATGGCTCCCACTTCTGAGGCTGCTTACAAGAAAGCTGATTACGGGTTTGACTCCCTGGCATTTGCCACTGCCAACTTATCATTAAAACAAGTAAAGGGACTGTTTGTCCCATTGGCAGAATTTTATCTTCAACCTATTGCACGACAACAGTATCATATCCCAGTGCGCCATGACTGCTGGCGCAACGGATATATAAAGTAGTTTAACGCATCAAACTAACCACAAATTCATCGGCAAGACTGTCGAACATACTGGGCGAAAAGTCGGCAGCAAATTTAGCGTGAGCAAGATCCTCTGGAAAAGTCCATACCGTGAGCGATATGTTGTGTGCCGTGTTCCTCTCCAAGCTACTGTAGGGACCTGAAGCTCAGTGAATAACAGCCAGTCGGCTGATAACACTGATGTGAAATCAGCAGCAAATACTTCTTTGAGAACCATTTTGCTGGGCAATTTCACAGGGTGACGTTCGCCGCCGCCGTAAACGAGACGTAAGCAATCGTGAAAGCTATCCCTATGCTTTTGGTGCCACACAACTTTGGGCAGCATTTTGGAGAAAAAGTAGCTTTCTAGTTTGTCCGTTTACAAGGACAGAATGATAACGATGGTTTTGCAATTTAAACGTTTGACGTGCCCGAATATGAGGCACAAGAGCAAGCAAAAGTCCATTTTACGCCTGCCCGCACACGGGCAGCAAACATCTGCGCAAAAATGTAGCTTGTCCCATTGCCGAATTACAGAGTACCGTTAGCTTTCAGTGTTATTTGAAAAATGAGAGAATTTGTGATCAGTGACTGATTTAAAAAGAGAAACTGCAAACCAACTGCAAAAGCAAGTAAAAAAGAAGAAATTGGTGGTGTTTCTTGGAATTTCGTCCGAACAAACGAGCGTTTTCGTTTTTGGGAGAAACGAAGTGGAGCCGCATTTGTCAGGACAGTGATGGTGTTTGAGTGCAGTATGCTGATATTGTAGGTTGCCTGAAAGCTCTCTAAGAAATAATTCAAATATTTTTCTGTTGAACGCCATCGACAGTCTGTCATGATTACTATCGCTCATCGCGCAGTCACAAATTACCGAATCTCTCTCCGTTCAGCAAAACTTTGAAGGAATATTGATATTAAGTCTGAAACGCATTTCCGATCAAACATTTGAGCGTAATTTACTAATCTTTTAAATTCGTAAAATGTGCCTTTTAGGGTTATTGCCATGTTTTCTTTTTGATTTGCAAAGGTAGAATTTACGATTCATTCTGATATTTAAGTAGGAAGCGTATTTTTCATGCATGCATCACCTTCCATTTCGGC